ACTAAATGTAACTATATCATTCTGGAATAATCTTATAAAAACTGAAGAGTATTCAAAATAATTACACTTAAATAATTAAAATAATTAAATAAGTAATTAACATAATACCATATGGAAAATACATGAAGGTTATAAATCTTGAGATTAGATATTATATCTAATATATATACTCAAGTGAATTTCTGTAGGGATTAGCAAGAGACAGAATTTCATTGTGGATAAACAGCATTCAAATAGGAGGTTATCACTCTACAAGGGTGTGCTTATGAAGTTAGGACAAATGTGACTGTCAAGCATTTTCATTTTAGAGTGAGGATGGATTGGTACAGGCTGCCTGGAGCTTTGTGTCCAGAAGGGTGTGAAGCCCAGGAAAGTGGTAGGTGGACTGGTCTTGACGGGTGTGGGAAGAATCCTTTTTAAACCCTGCTCTAGACACGAGACGGACACCTGGGTTTGCTGCATTGTCGGGAGGCTTGGCTGTGAGGCTTACTTCAGGTGTGCTTTTTTTTTTTTTAGCAGCACCTATATTAAATTCTACTTTCTGACTTTAAGTAACTTAACATCCAACAAGAGCAGAGCTAAAAGAGAAATTTCTTCATCCCTTCTCTCTCATAAACATTTGCTCTTATCAAAACATTTATTTTTTTATGGCTTTACTTTCTTTGAGGGCTGAGGCAAGGTTATCACACATCACTGGCCATCTACTGTCTAATCCCAGCTCAGGACAAAGAGCCATGCTGGCTCCTTTATTTCTCTCTGAAGACTCAAAGGCTGTCTGTCCACCTTCCTGTCCTGGGCTGCTGCCTGATGTGCCCTGCTACTGGAGCACTCTGGTCTATTCCTTTGCCCCGGGATAAAGACCACAGCTGTCACTTAGTGAAGGGATGCTTTCATTGACACACCTTGTTCAACATCCCAAAAGTTTGCCTGGCATTAGCATTTTATAAACTACCCCTTAACTTCTTAATGGTAACCTTTTTTCAGCATTAAAAAAATTAATAAAGAGAATTTAAAAAAAATAAAGTTTATGTTTGAGTATGAAAGTGGTATATGGTCATTGTTGAAATGTAGAAATTTTTTTTAAGTCAGAAAGAAAGGAAAAGTAAAAAAGTTATCTGTAATTCTACAGCCTAAAGCCAATAGCTCTGTAATGATTTAAATATTTTGGTTTACTTCATTTATTCTACAGGAAAATTCTCAAATACACTCGTATTAAGTTTTTTCAAATTAAATTTAACAGGTAAATGCTTCCTGTTGTTACCTTTCAAAAAATCTTTAAAAATTAAAACCAATTCATTATATTATACTGTCATGGGTAAAAAGAGGGAAGGGAACACATAAATTTTTATTGCTACTCTGTATGGCCCTGTATTAGACACTAAGTGGATATTCCATTTATTTTCACACACACAAAAAAGCCTTTGAAAAAGTATTACAATTTCCAATTCATAGAAACTATAAGTCAGAAAAACTGAAATAATATGTCCAAGGCCACAAAATTGTAAAGTCACACTGAGATTTAAGCTCAGGTTTATCTGACTCCAATGCAACTTGTACTACCCCAAAACACAACTGCAGCATTATTGACTGCAGTTGTGTTTTTGACTGCAGCATGACTTTTTATATTTTGACATCTATTTGAGTTACACATACCATGTGTATTTAAAACATCATAATTCTAAACTTCACAATTTAAAATTGTCTCTGAATTCATAAATGATAGGATAAAAAAGAATAAACAGGCCAGGCCCAGTGGCTCACGCCTGTAATCCTAGCACTCTGGGAGGCCGAGACAGGTGGATTGCTCAAGGTCAGGAGTTTGAAACCAGACCAAGCAAGAGCGAGACCCCGTCTCTACTAAAAAAATAGAAAGAAATTAATTGGCCAACGAAAAATATATAGAAAAACTTAACCAGGCATGGTGCTGCATGCCTGTAGTCCCAGGTACTCGGGAGGCTGAGGCAGGAGGATTACCTGAGCCCAGGAGTTAGAGGTTGCTGTGAGCTAGGCTGATGCCACGGCACTCTAGCCTGAGCAACAGAGTGAGACTCTGTCTCAAAAAAAAAGAATAAACATTGAGAAGGATCCATCTCATTTTGAATGGAGCATAAAAGAGTAGTTTTAGCAACAGGGAAATCAAGAGAAGAGTGATGCCTACTGCAATGAGTATTTACTATGAGCACAGAAAGAAAAAGGAGGGAAAGGGAAACTTTGATCACATCCAATTACACGATTCTTCAGGAAAACTATAATGTGAGTTATATAGAAGAGATTATTAAAAACCAAACCATTGCTCTCTTTGATTTCCTGCAGCCCAGCTCATTACATAGACAGTCAATGTAATATCACAACCCAGAAATAGAACTATTAACATCCTTTTTATATTTACCTCTAATAACTCTCCTATGTATTAATATATATCTTTTTTTTTTTTTTTTTTTTTTTTTTTGAGACAGTCTCATTCCTTTGCCCAGGCAAGAGTGACTGCCATGGGGTCAGCCTCGCTCACAGCAACCTCCAACTCCTGGGCTCAAGCGATCCTCCTGCCTCAGCCTCCCGAGTAGCTGGGACTACAGGCATGCGCCACCATGCCTAGCTAATTTTTTCTATACATATTAGTTGGCCAGTTAACTTCTTTCTATTTATAGTAGAGATGGGGTCTCACTCTTGCTCAGGCTGGTTTTGTTTTTTTTATTTTTTATTTTTTTATTTTTTTTATTTTATTTATTTTTTTTTTGTCACCTTCTGTAATCACTGAAAGTCAGGCTGGTTTTGAACTCCTGACCTTGAGCAATCTGCCCGCCTAGGCCTCCCAGAGTGCTAGGATTATAGACGTGAGCCACCGCACCAGCCTGATATATCTCTTTATCTATACACAGACATGTACACACACTCACAGATGCATGATAGTTTTTTTTAACCATTTCCTCATAACTATATATTTAGGTTATTTCCAGTCTCCACTATTTTAAATTATGCTGAAATCTCATTTTTGATCATTTTAGGGCAGATTCCTATCAGTAAAATTTGGGAGTCAAACAATATGAACATTTTGAGGTTCTTGACACATACTACTGAACTGCTTTGTAGAGTTGTATCCATTGACTTTTCCGCCAGTACTATATGAGGCACCTATCTCATTACAACTTTATCAGCTTAGAGTAGTTTTCTCAAACTTTAGCAGAATTACCTGGAAGGCTTATTAAATTAGAGTTCTGGGCCCTATCCCAAATTTCTGATTTTTGTTACAGACTTTATGGTGGGGCCTGAGAATTTGCACATCTAACAAATTTCCAGGGGAGGCTGATGCTGCTGAATCTGGGGCATTTTGAACCACTGGCCTAAAATACCACTGGTTTTGGGCTTCAGCCATATAGATAGGTAAAAAGCGGTAACTTCTTTCTTTTATACTTGTCTGATTAACAATGAAATTGAACAGTTTTTCATGTATTTAGCTACTTGATTTTTTTCTTTGACAGGTCTTTTGTTCACTATCTTCTGAAGTATAATGTGATTATTGATCTGTAAGATTCATCTATATAAATGATATTAGTAGCCCTTTGGTCATTTTTATATTGTTCATTTTCAACATTCAGATATCTTATATTTTCATGTAGTCAGATCTGTCAATCTCTTATTATGAGCCTTCCTCTGTAGTTGTAATTTTTCTTAAAGTTATCTTTCTCAGTGAAATTAATATATGTGTTTTCTTATTTATTCTTAACGATAACCTTGAAAGGAAGAGATTGGGCCCATTTTGCAAATGAGGACAGCAAGTCTTATAGCTATTACATAGATTGCATAAAGTCTAGAAGCTTTGACCTAAGATCAAAAAAAGTAAGTGGCAGAGTCAGGATGAGACTTTACTGAGTACATCAAAATGGTTCCCTAAAGAAGGAAAGAAAACTAATGTTCACTGAATCTATCATATGACAGGTACTCTTCACATCTTTTCTGATTTAGTATTCAGGAAAGTTCCTATATCTGGAAGCATCAAACCAGTGAGTGCAATTTGGATTCTTTTCTTCTCTTTATCTATAGCGTCAGGTCTAAGAACTCAGACTACTCAGGCTAATCTCAGTTCTGTGACTTACTAGGCATATGATCATGTACAAGTAATCTAACTTTTCAGATTTCAATTTCCTTTTCCCTAAAATGAGGAGTGATAATAGCAACTAGTTCATAGAGTGGAGGATTGAGTGAAATAATCTATATGAAACACTTCGCAAAGTGCTCTGTCACAGAATACATTCAGTAAAGAATAACCTTATTGACAGACGTTTAACTCTTGCCAAGTCTCGCCGCCGCGGCCCGCGGGCCTTGGGCTCCCCGAAGCGTGAGCCCTCCCGCGCAGCCTCAGGGTCCCCAGCGCCGCAGCTCGGGCGCCCGCGGCAGGCGATCTCTGCGTGACCACGTCTGCGAGGGACTTTGCTATCGTCTGCCAGGACCTGGGGAGAAAGAACCGGCAGCTCCCTATCCCTTCCCCCTGTGCCAGCATTTTGGGCACCCCGCAGGGACTCATTTTGGGGTTCCCACTGACTTCCAGGAAGGACGGGAGTCCTTCTGTGACCCCATCTCGGGCCGCCACCTGTCTGCCGCAGTGACCCTTCTCCCCTGACCCTGCGGTGCCTTGAGTCCTCCGGGAATGGCGCGGACGGCACGCGGAGCCAGCGGGGGGCCGCGGGTCGCGAGGAGCCCACCGGGGCGGCGCGTCTGGCGAAGGCCCTGCGGGAGCTCGGGCAGACAGGATGGTACTGGGGAAGTTTGACTGTTAATGAAGCCAAAGAGAAATTAAAAGAGGCACCAGAAGGAACTTTCTTGATTAGAGATAGCTCGCACTCAGACTGCCTACTAACAATATCTGTTAAAACATCCGCCGGACCAACTAGTCTGCGGATTGAATATCAGGATGGGAAGTTCAGATTGGACTCTGTCATATGTGTCAAGTCCAAGCGTAAACAATCTGACAGTGTGGTTCATCTGATCACTACTGTGTCCAGATGTGCAAGGATAAGCGGACGGGCCCAGAAGCCCCCGGAACGGCACTGTTCACCTTTGCTGACCAAACCGCTCTGCGCGTCGGCGCCACCGCTGCAGCGTCCCTGTGGACTCACCGCCGACAAACGCACCGCACCATCTGGGGATTGCCTTTACCAACAGGACTAAGAGATTACGTGGAGGAATATAAATTCCAGGTAAAAGCGTTTCTCTTTTTCTAAACATGCCTCACGTAGAGTACCTCCGAATGCAGCTATATGTAAAAGAGAACCAAAACTTGAGTGGACTGCTCTGGATGACTACAGGAATCCTTTCTAAGAACAGCTGAAGTCAATCTAATTTAAATGTGTGCCGAGGTAGCTAGGTATTTAAAGCACCCCCCCCACCCCTCCCCAGATATTTTCACCAGAGGGATGTTTCCCTTCCTAAGGCTGACTGAGACCAGTTGTTGTTTTAAATGAAAAATAAAATGTCCCAAGTCAAGGCTGAAGGAGTATTTATCAGAATGCCTTGCCTTCTTGAGGTTCCTTTCCATTAGGTCAAAGGTCCAAGCTCTAGTAGTAAAGAGCTGCACCTAGCAGTACTGAAGAAGTGGAAGGAACTAAGCTGACACAGGTGTAACTTCAATTTTATGTGCTTGGTGATCAGAATCTACTTTAGGACATTTTATATTTTGCATTCTGATGTACCTAGGAGTTTTGTTAAACAGATCATGTGTGTGAGTATTTATCCTTTATTTTATGCAATTAACCAAATCAACCAAAAAAGTGACCACGAAATCCTGTATTTGTCTTACTACATGTATGAACTCTCTCATGTGAATGAGTACTGTAGTAATCCATTTTAAGGGAGCCTTACTTCAGAAATATTTCAAACTGGTGCAAATAGAAAAGACTTTTTTCTTTTCTTTTAAGGCTAAAGACAAGAATGTCATGCTATACAGGTGCAACTCAATCTGTTAATAAAAACCAGTGTAGATATAGACATTTTACCATTTAAAGTAGCTGTGTCCCAACCTGTAGCCATCCATTTTTTGGAAATGGCCTTAGAAATTTCCAGGTTGCCCTTGAATTGTCTAACCACGGACATTAGCAGATGTCTCCCTTCTACCATGTAGAATACTTTGACATAATTTTCTTCCAGATATAGGGGGATACCTGCCTGTTTTTCCAAGTGTTTATTTACTGCTGTTATTATTTGATTAGAATGTATTAAATAAAAAAAAACTTGACTTTAAAAAAAAAAATAACCTTATTATTTTTATGACTATCTCCAGAGCAGCATGATACAATAAAATGATGATAACACTTAAAATATGGAGATTGCGAGCCCAATCCAAGTTTCACCACTTTCTAGTTGTACAATCCAAATAAAGTCCTTTGCCTTCTCTAATACTCAGTTTTCTCAACTGTAAAATGAAGACAATAGTAATATCTAAAAGCCTGTCATAACTATTATTTGGGAAAATGGAAATAACATACTTGTAAACGCTACAGTGCTATAGCAATATTTTTGGGTTGTTACACTTTGAAAAGCTAAGTATTTTATAAAATTCTGTTTGTTTCTATAGTTTTCTGACATTATTATATACTTTATCCTTGCTTTTCCTTTATAATCATTAGTCTTGCCATTTGTTTATTCAAATGTAATCACCTTTTTAAAGCTTCTTCTATTTTTTCATCTATTTTCAAATCCACTGTTTCTTCTAATGACCTTTATAGTTATTGAATTTTTTTTCTTGAGATACAGTATTTTGGATTTTCTGAATCTTGAAATGTTCTCTCGAAGAAGTGTCAAGTTAAGTAGATGTTTAACTCATGATGAAAGTTCCATTTCTCTTCACTTTCTCCTTCTGTCTATCCTTGAAAATGATTTATAGTTTTGAAGATTCTTACTAATGGTGCATACGGATGTGTAAAGTGGCCTTAATTTTCAATGGAAAACACAGTCTTCACTAGCCTGGGCTCATCTTCTTTCATACATAGCCTATTCATTGACTTCATTTTCTTTGTAAATAAATTCATTTTAGTTTTTTTTTTTTTTTTTTTTGAGACAGAGTCTCGCTTTGTTGTCCAGGCTAGAGTGAGTGCCGTGGCGTCAGCCTAGCTCACAGCAACCTCAAACTCCTGGGCTTGAGCGATCCTTCTGCCTCAGCCTCCCGAGTAGCTGGGACTACAGGCATGCGCCACCATGCCCGGCTAATTTTTTTTTTATATATATATCAGTTGGCCAATTAATTTCTTTCTATTTATAGTAGAGACGGGGTCTCGCTCTTGCTCAGGCTGGTTTTGAACTCCTGACCTCTAGCAATCCGCCCGCCTTGGCCTCCCAGAGAGCTAGGATTACAGGCGTGAGCCACCGCGCCCGGCCATTTTAGTTTTGACATTATGAAAGAGCCACATAATGATACACTGTGATTCACTCCCATTTTTCAGTTTTATAACATATAAGCCTATGTCTGGTGGTCTAAAGTGTTATAATCAGAAAACAAATTGTGACCTTTGTCTACAGTTTAGAAATAAAAATAATTCGTTATAGAAAACTCTTTAGCCCTTCCACTTTCGTTGTCATTCTGAGTATATGAAATACATTTGAGGACTTTCTTGTAAACAATCATGGCAACAAATGACTAAGCAACCTAAAATCAATAGAGATGATTCTTGTTCTTTACTGCTATGGGTATCATCTACAGTCTGAGCTTTAGGTATAATATACTCTAAAAACTAAGTTAAAAAGCAAAATGTAAAGATACATGGAAGGGTGGTAAATACACCCTAGTTTTGGCAGAATTAATTATTGTCATTAAATGACAAAAAAGCTTAGATATTATCTAACATAAACTTCTCATTTTATGGAAGAGAAAGATGAGTTGCTGAGAGGCAAGTGGCTCGTGGTTAATGAATGGGTGGCAGGTTCGAGCTTAAGTCACCATCTGATTCCTTATGATGTGAAAAGATAACTTTTTGCATGCCATAGCAATCGAACTATTATATAAACCAACCAATGCCTTCAACTATGCACTCTTTCAACACTGATAAAGCTAAACAGAATCTTCATTCTAATAAACATACTAGAAAAAATAAAAATAAATAGAGAAACAATATAATCTTCCTTTGCCAAACTGCTAAATGCGATATGTCCTCATTTAACATTGTCAGTAGGTTCTGGGAAACTGCGACTTAAAGCAAAAAGATATATAATGAAACCAATTTTGCCATAAGCTAATTGATACATACAAGAGCTAAGTTTCTATGGCATATTTTTGGTCACAGAAACATTGCCAAACTTCTAAATAAAGACCCCCAACACTTCTAATATTAAACATTGAAATAAGTGTGAGCTATACATACAATAAAAAATGTTTCCCTTTCATCAACGTTATAAGAAAACAGCATTGAAAGAAACGACATTATTTGAGGACCTGCTGTATGTATATGGAATTACAGATCCTTAAAGATATTTAATTATAAACATAAAAATGTCATTCAAAAATATAGATTCGTTTTAGTTAATTGAAAAAAAGTCTGTTCAGTCTAAATTCTTAGAACTGTAACAGGTACTACTAAATTGCTCTTGCCCAAATCAGCATTATCAATTTGCTTTCCTACCAATTAGTAAGTTTTACATTCTCATGCATACTTTTTATTATTACAACTCTTCAGGGCTTTTTTCCAATGTGCTGTTTCCCCCCCTCAAAAAAAAGGTATATCATTTTAATTTGTTTCATTGATTACTGAGTTTTAGCATCTTAAGTTTTTTGGCTATTTGCATTTCTTCTGTGAATTACTTGTGTGTATGTATTGCCTATTTTTTCTATTAGGGTCTATGATTTTCTCTTTATCTTTTTTTTTTTTTTTTTTTTTTGAGACAGAGTCTCGCTTTGTTGCCCAGGCTAGAGTGAGTGCTGTGGGGTCAGCCTAGCTCACAGCAACCTGAAACTCCTGGGCTCAAGCGATCCTCCTGCCTCAGCCTCCCGAGTAGCTGGGACTACATGCGCCACCATGCCCGGCTAATTTTTTCTATATATATTAGCTGGCCAATTAATTTCTTTCTATTTATAGTAGAGACGGCATCTTGCTCTTGCTCAGGCTGGTTTCGAACTCCTGACCTCGAGCAATATGCCCGCCTCAGCCTCCTAGAGTGCTAGGATTACAGGCGTGAGCCACCGTGCCTGGCCTATGATTTTCTCTTAATGATTGGCTGTACTCCTTATTCTGTTTACATGTATGTGTACTTTCTTCTCGTTTGTCACTTTTGGGGGGGTTGTTTAAGGTTTATTTTGCCACAGAATGTTTTAATTTTACTATACTAAATTTAGGAAATTTGCTATAGTAAAAGACTCTTTTCCTAGAGTTTTTTGCACTATGTGTTATAAAGTTAGTACTTATATCAATTAGGATCCTATCAGAAAGGGATATTATAATAATCGGAATAGGAAAAGTTTATTATTAGCCATACCAGGGAACAGAGTAACAAGGTATTGTAAAAGTAAGATGCGAAGAGACAGTCCAGAGCATACAGGAATGACAGCTATAAATCCCTAAGGTTATAATAGATCATCCTTTCCACCTATCCCCTCCCCAGTCCTGCCTGCAGGGGTGAGATCCATTCCTTATTAGAGCCTTGGTTCCTGAGGGGTAGAGAAGTCACAGTGGTGCTGTGCTGGCCGAATTTGGTGCAATCCATCTTCCACATTTGCAGGAAATCCATCTGCTCGGGTGCATGGGGAGGTATCTTGCCCAAGAGAGTCTGCTATGAAACTGCCCCAGGGGTATGTTTGGGGAAGCTGATGGCCTCTGGGTACTGCTGTAGGCCATGAGCTGTAGGAGCCTGAAACTGCAGAAAGCCACCTGGGGTGCAGGAACCTAGCTCTGAAGAAAACAATGAGTGCTGTAGGATCCCACTGGGAGGAGCCACAGAAACCAGGAAAAAACACACCTGGTTGCAATTTCTCTTCAGCACACTCTGCTAACAAGGTTTAACGTGGTGCTATCTGGCCAGGGAGAAATATCGAAAAGGCCCAGCTCCATTTACTGTAGAGCAATAATGAAAGAGAAATTGGAGCCAAGGGGCAATAAATTGATAATTGGCACAATGCTTTATTAACCTGGATTTATTTTTGTGCATGATTTAGTAGCATGTACAAAAGACAAAATAAAATTGGAAACAACTTCAAGATACATCAATAAAGAAATGA